CAAGCTAAATGCCTAGCAACGGGGCTCCTAACCACGTGACCTTGACGTGCCGAGTCCACAAACAAGACGTGCACACCCAGCTCCACCCTCTGCCGGTCGATGGCTGGGCAGCCAGCATCAGGGTGGGGCAAACTGAAAATCGCGTGGCCAAGCTAGATGCCTAGCAACGGGGCTCCTAACCACGTGACCTTGACGTGCCGAGTCCACAAACAACACGTGCACACCCAGCTCCACCCTCTGCCGGTCGATGGCTGGGCAGCCAGCATCAGGGTGGGGCAAACATAAAATCACGTAGCCATGCCAAATGCCTAGCAACGGGGCTCCTAACCACGTGACCTTGAGGTGCCGAGTCCACAAACAAGACGTGCACACCCAGCTTCACTCTCTGCCGGTCGATGGCTGGGCAGCCAGCATCAGGGTGGGGCAAACATAAAATCACGTAGCCATGCCAAATGCCTAGCAACGGGGCTCCTAACCACGTGACCTTGAGGTGCCGAGTCCACAAAAAAGACGTGCACACCCAGCTCCACCTTATGCCGGTCGATGGCTGGGCAGCCAGCATCAGGGTGGGGCAAACTGTAAATCGCGTGGCCAAGCTAGATGCCTAGCAACGGGGCTCCTAACCACGTGACCTTGAGGTGCCGAGTCCACAAACAAGACGTGCACACCCAGCTCCACCTTATGCCGGTCGATGGCTGGGCAGCCAGCATCAGGGTGGGGCAAACTGAAAATCGCGTGGCCAAGATAAATGCCTAGCAACGGGGCTCCTAACCACGTGACCTTGACGTGCCGAGTCCACAAACAAGACGTGCACACCCAGCTCCACCCTCTGCCGGTCGATGGCTGGGCAGCCAGCATCAGGGTGGGGCAAACTGAAAATCGCGTGGCCAAGCCAATTGCCTAGCAACGGGGCTCCTAACCACGTGACCTTGACGTGCCGAGTCCACAAACAACACGTGCACACCCAGCTCCACCCTCTGCCGGTCGATGGCTGGGCAGCCAGCATCAAGGTTGGGCAAACTGAAAATCACGTGATCAGGGTAAATGCCTGGCAACGGGGCTCCTAACCACGTGACCTTGAGGTGCCGAGTCCACAAACAAGACGTGCACACCCAGCTCCACCCTCTGCCGGTCGATGGCTGGGCTGCCAGCATCAGGGTGGGGCAAACTGAAAATCGCGTGGCCAAGCTAGATGCCTAGCAACGGGGCTCCTAACCACGTGACCTTGAGGTGCCGAGTCCACAAACAACACGTGCACACCCAGCTCCACCCTCTGCCGGTCGATGGCTGGGCAGCCAGCATCAGGGTGGGGCAAACTGAAAATCGCGTGACCAAGCTAAATGCCTAGCAACGGGGCTCCTAACCACGTGACCTTGAGGTGCCGGCTCCACAAACAAGACGTGCACACCCAGCTCCACCCTCTGCCGGTCGATGGCTGGGCAGCCAGCATCAGGGTGGGGCAAACTGAAAATCGCGTGACCAAGCTAAATGCCTAGCAACGGGGCTCCTAACCACGTGACCTTGAGGTGCCGAGTTCACAAACAAGACGTGCACACCCAGCTCCACCCTCTGCCGGTCGATGGCTGGGCAGCCAGCATCAGGGTGGGGCAAACTGAAAATCGCGTGACCAAGCCAAATGCCTAGCAACGGGGCTCCTAACCACGTGACCTTGAGGTGCCGAGTCCACAAACAACACGTGCACACCCAGCTCCACCCTCTGCCGGTCGATGGCTGGGCAGCCAGCATCAGGGTGGTGCAAACTGAAGATCGCGTGACCAAGATAAATGCCTAGCAACGGGGCTCCTAACCACGTGACCTTGAGGTGCCGAGTCCACAAACAACACGTGCACACCCAGCTCCACCCTCTGCCGGTCGATGGCTGGGCAGCCAGCATCAGGGTGGGGCAAACTGAAAATCGCGTGACCAAGATAAATGCCTAGCAACGGGGCTCCTAACCACGTGACCTTGAGATGCCGAGTCCACAAACAAGACGTACACACCCAGCTCCACTTTATGCCGGTCGATGGCTGGGCAGCCAGCATCAGGGTGTGGCAAACTGAAAATCGCGTGACCAAGCTAAATGCCTAGCAACGGGGCTCCTAACCACGTGACCTTGAGGTGCAGGGTCCACAAAGAAGACGTGCACACTCAGCTCCACCCTCTGCCGGTCGATGGCTGGGCAGCCAGCATCAGGGTGGGGCAAACTGAAAATCACGTGATCAGGGTAAATGCCTGGCAACGGGGCTCCTAACCACGTGACCTTGAGGTGCCGAGTCCACAAACAACACGTGCACACCCAGCTCCACCCTCTGCCGGTCGATGGCTGGGCAGCCAGCATCAGGGTGGGGCAGACATAAAATCACGTGGCCAAGCCAAATGCCTAGCAACGGGGCTCCTAACCACGTGACCTTGAGGTGCCGAGTCCACAAACAACACGTGCACACCCAGCTCCACCCTCTGCCGGTCGATGGCTGGGCAGCCAGCATCAGGGTGGGGCAAACTGAAAATCGCGTGACCAAGATAAATGCCTAGCAACGGGGCTCCTAACCACGTGACCTTGAGGTGCCGAGTCCACAAACAAGACGTGCACACCCAGCTCCACCCTCTGCCGGTCGATGGCTGGGCAGCCAGCATCAGGGTGGGGCAAACTGAAGATCGCGTGACCAAGATCAATGCCTAGCAACGGGGCTCCTAACCACGTGACCTTGAGGTGCCGAGTCCACAAACAAGACGTGCACACCCAGCTCCACCCTCTGCCGGTCGATGGCTGGGCAGCCAGCATCAGGGTGGGGCAAACTGAAAATCGCGTGGCCAAGCTAAATGCCTAGCAACGGGGCTCCTAACCACGTGACCTTGAGATGCCGAGTCCACAAACAAGACGTGCACACCCAGCTCCACATTATGCCGGTCGATGGCTGGGCAGCCAGCATCAGGGTGTGGCAAACTGAAAATCGCGTGACCAAGCTAAATGCCTAGCAACGGGGCTCCTAACCACGTGACCTTGAGGTGCCGAGTCCACAAACAAGACGTGCACACTCAGCTCCACACTCTGCCGGTCGATGGCTGGGCAGCCAGCATCAGGGTGGGGCAAACTGAAAATCACGTGATCAGTGTAAATGCCTAGCAACGGGGCTCCTAACCACGTGACCTTGAGGTGCCGAGTCCACAAACAAGACGTGCACACCCAGCTCCACCCTCTGCCGGTCGATGGCTGGGCAGCCAGCATCAGGGTGTGGCAAACTGAAAACGGCGTGACCAAGCTAAATGCCTAGCAACGGGGCTCCTAACCACGTGACCTTGAGGTGCCGAGTCCACAAACAACACGTGCACACCCAGCTCCACCCTCTGCCGGTCGATGGCTGGGCAGCCAGCATCAGGGTGGGGCAAACTGAAAATCGCGTGTCCAAGCTAAATGCCTAGCAACGGGGCTCCTAACCACGTGACCTTGAGGTGCCGAGTCCACAAACAACACGTGCACACCCAGCTCCACCCTCTGCCGGTCGATGGCTGGGCAGCCAGCATCAGGGTGGGGCAAACTGAAAATCGCGTGACCAAGATAAATGCCTAGCAACGGGGCTCCTAACCACGTGACCTTGAGGTGCCGAGTCCACAAACAACACGTGCACACCCAGCTCCACCCTCTGCCGGTCGATGGCTGGACAGCCAGCATCAGGGTGGGGCAAACTGAAAATCGCGTGACCAAGCTAAATGCCTAGCAACGGGGCTCCTAACCACGTGACCTTGAGGTGCCGGCTCCACAAACAAGACGTGCACACCCAGCTCCACCCTCTGCCGGTCGATGGCTGGGCAGCCAGCATCAGGGTGGGGCAAACTGAAAATCGCGTGACCAAGCTAAATGCCTAGCAACGGGGCTCCTAACCACGTGACCTTGACGTGCCGAGTCCACAAACAAGACGTGCACACCCAGCTCCACCCTCTGCCGGTCGATGGCTGGGCAGCCAGCATCAGGGTGGGGCAAACTGAAAATCGCGTGGCCAAGCTAAATGCCTAGCAACGGGGCTCGTAACCACGTTATCTTTATGTGACGATTCCACTATCTTTACGTTACTTTCAGTTTGCCCCGCCATTGTTCTATCTACACAGCCATCGATCAGCAGTTGGTGGATCTGGGTGTGCACGTCTTGTTTGTGAACTCGGCACCTCAAGTTCATGTGGTTAGAAACCCCGTTGCTAGGCATTTGTCTTGTTCACGTGATTTTCAGTTTGCCCCACACTGATGCTGACTGCCCAGCCATCGACCGGCATAAGGTGTAGCTGTGTGTGCATGTCTTGTTTGTGGACTCGGCACCTCAAGGTCACGTTGTTAGGAGCCGTTAACCCCCACCGTAACCCTAACTTTAACTTGAAACCCTAACCCTTACCCTGACCTTTTATATTCTTCGTGATTTTCTATTTATCGTGTCTCCTATTTGCCTTGTCTTAGGGATCGAGATTATAACAATAATTTTATTTATGTGATATTTCTATATTGAGATAAATATTTAGCAAAATTGAAGCTGTTCTGTTCGGGGTTAAGACTTGTGTTTTTGTTGTATATTTATGCAATACTTAAAGTATTATGTTTTTGTGTCTCTCTACTTGTAAACTTATTTTTCACACGAAAATTATTCGTGTAAGGTTCATATTGTACAAATGTTATTTTCTATTTTATAGTACGTTGTGATCTGTTTGGTTGGTATATAAACTCAGTATGTTTGAAATATAATGATTCATATTGCAGAGGCTCGAGTTGGTGTTCTGGTCTTAACTGGCTGGGCTAGGCTGAAAGCAGGATCAATCAAGACTGTAGGCTGCTCATACGGGTTTACGCGTCATTGGTCAGATCGATAAGTCACTTCTGTCTAATCGGTGGTCACAAGTTATAACAAGCTAGTATCAGTTGGTGATGAAAACACTAACCCTAACCCTAAACTTAGCGCGTGTCAAACGTTATTCCATTCCATTTTCGTCTTTCAAAAAACATTTTAAATTTGCTTTTACTGGATTGTCATCTTTTATTTAATAAGTTCTTGAAGAAAAACATGGACGGTAGGAATTCTATAAGTAGTATTTATTCCAAAATTAAAATAGAAAATTAAATGTGAAAAAATGCGTAGACTATCGCCCGTCTTCCGTCACAAAACTTTTGCTGATCTGGTTTAGGTGACTGATATAATGAATAATGGTGAACTTAAAAACGAGTAATGTAAGTCATGAATGTGATAATAATGCTAAATGTTTGCAATTTGAGAACATTGTTCATAATCATCGTTATATTTTCATGACTTTTGGTCATCTCCTGTTGTGTCCACGGGTTTAAAGACTTCATCTTTTTGTCTTAAGTGATTAATTGCTAAACCGAATAGTACACAAATAAGTACACTGCACAATGATAAACCAATTGCAATAGATAGACTCATATCATGTGAGATATCACCAGCACACACAACACCTAGAAAGATATAATTGAAAAAAATAAGCACAATGAAAAAATTGTCTTAAAAAATTATTCAAGTCAAAATATTCAACTCAATAAGGAAACAAATGAGATATGAGAAAAGATGTCCTTAAATAGATTGGTATTCTTGTTTATAGGTATTAATGCCAAGGTTGGACATGACAGTTTCAAATAAATTGGGCATTCGGTGGAAAGTTAAAAATAAATATTTTTTTTCTTAGGTCCCAATAAATAGAAAATTGTATTGCTAACGTTCCGTGACTTGATGTAAGAGACTTCTTCAGATTAAAGAAATAACCGAATCAACTTAACACAAATTTAAATAATATAACAAAACAAGGCAGAATATTTTTAGTACAATCAAAGTCAATGTAGGTTTGAATATGTCAATGTGGTGTTATTCTTGGTCAAGATGAATTTGTACGACCTGCCACTGCATTAATTTGTGCCGTAGAAGGTGGATAAAAATTGTATGTAGTTGTATCATGAAGTGCTAGGGTTGAAATTTTGTGTTTTTAAATTGTATGGAAAATAAATAAGGTCAAATTTTCGGTTGATTCGATAGACAGTCCAGTAGGCTGTTGCTTGTTATCCGGCGAAACGGCTAATGTTAATAAATAACTGTAACTTTTTGATGACGGTTGTAGTAGTTCTCCACATTTCAGCTCCGTATGATAGAACTGTCTTGACGTTCGTATTGAAGATTGTGATTTTGATGTTGGTTGACGGTTGTTTTGAGTCTAACATGTTCTACAACTATAGGAATGTGGACCTTGCTTTTCCAATCCATGCCTTCATATCTGCATCAGATCCTCCTTGTTTATCAATCATGCTGTCAAGAAAAGTGAAAGTTTTCACCTCTTCCAGAACTTCTCCATCAAGTGAGATTCAGTCGGTGTCTTGTGTTGCATTTGAGGATCATGCTTTTTCCCTTGTGTACGTTGAAGCCCATTGCTGCAGAGGTTGCTGCTAAAATGGCGAACTTCACTTGTATTTGTTGATGTGTATGAGACAGAAGAGCTAGATCATCTGTGATGTACAAATTGTCTAAATGTATCCGTACCTTCCCTCAGATTTGGAAGTCTTCATAATCCAGTCAACCACCAGAAGAAAGAGAGAGGGGGAAAGTAGACAGCTATGTCTGACTCAGGTCCTCATTCGGAATGCGTCTGTCAACTGTACTACTACACGCACCATTTTGTAGTAAAGTCAGTTGTATGAATTGCGAATAATGTTGACGATCTTCTTAGGTACACCATAGTGTCGAAGAAGGTTCCACAAGGTTCTCCTATCCACAATGTCAAACGCTTTCTCAATGTCAAGAAATTTGACTTGTTGTGACGAATTCCACTCAACAATGATCAGTGATGTCATGATTTGATCTATGCACGACCGATCCTCATGAAACACAGTCTGTTGATACCGAAATTGAGTGTCTACTAAATCCTTCATCCGGTTCAACAACACTCTGCTTAAAACGTCCCCCAGTATAGATAGTAGTGTGATGTCTCTTAGTGGTTGGCTTGCCTTCTTTTTCCTTGACCGGTCTCTCTAGTTTACAAGATTTCTCTGCCAGTTATTTCGTTGCACAATATAGTCGTCTCATATTTCCTTCTCTGGCAACCTTCTCCGCCGTCGGTGTTAGGTCTCTCATGTATTTCTGCTTGTCGGCTCGGATACTCCTCTTCATTGTCATGTTTACTTGTTTATATTCAGCGTGTTCCTTTAATTTCTCTTTCATGTTCAGCTGTTGTTAATTGCTGTCTTCTTCTTCTTCCTTTCTTGAATCTTGTTTAGGTTTTCAATAGAGATCCATGCCTTATGATGATACTTCTCGCGCCCCAGCACCTCCTGACACGTTGAAGTTAGTGCTTCTTTGATCCCTTTCCTGTTGTCCTTCATAAGAGTTTCTTCTTCTTTCAGTAGATCTTGTAAGGCTTGGAACCTGTCACTGAGAGCTAACTTGAATTCGTGGAGTTTGTTAGTATCTCGTAGAAAGGCTGTATTGAAACTTTGTAATGCTGTTTGTTCAGTTGTTCAGTGCTTCTTAAGCTCCAGTTTCATCTTTGAAATCACTAGGTTGTGATCTGAAGTTATGTCAGTTCCTCTCTCGGTCCTCCCGCCTTCCATTGACCTTCTGAATTTACTAGTAATACAAATATGATCAATCTGGTTCTCTGTGATGTGGTCGAATGAGACCTATGTAGCCTTGTGTATGCGTTTATGTGGGAATATAGTTCCACCTACAACCATTTTGCTGAATGTACATAAATTTGCGAATCTCTCGCAATTCTCGTTCCTTTCTCTCAGTTAGTCCATCATTTCGTCTCATTATATCTTGTTGTACATTTCGACTTTCATATTTAGGTATCCTATGAGGATGGTCAGGTTCTCTTCTGGGCACTTCTCTGTGATCGACTGCAGCCTCTCGTAAAACTGATGTTTATCCTCGTCACTGCTATCAATGGTGGGTTCATAGCATATGATAATATTCATTTCGATTCCCTCCTTCTTTGTTTTGATGAATCATTTGACGATTGCGGATTCATGATATTCGCATTTTATGGGTGTTTATAGTTCTTCTTTGAACAACACCAATATATATATGGTTTATTGAAATGTTTCTTTGTTGTTTGCATCTGTTTTTGAAATATATATAATCTCAATATTGACGTGTGATAAATCGTACAACGCTTTGCTGCTAAATTGTATTAATGGAATGAAATCATGCTATTTTGAATGTAATTTATGCTGACAGTAGGAGGTATTGTCAGTTATATTTACATATACAGGATGTGACTAAGAAAGCGTACTTACTTGCTCCAGTAAATTCTGGTACATTGACGTCAGCAAATGCTTGAGAGCGTACACTTTGTAAACTCATTATAATATTCCATTTGTCGTTATGTGATTTAATGTAATTATCATTCGAATTAACTACTGTACTATTTTCTGTATCAAAAACAAATTGAGTCTCTGAAACACATTCATAATAATCACCAACTCTAGCTTGTAAACGCTTTTCAGCTAAGCTATGTACAATAAATTCCTTAGTATCTAGAAATAAAAATAAAAATAAATAGGATCTGAAAATTAAAAAAGTTATATTAAAATATTTTTGAACTCTATATACAGAACAAATGAAAGAAACACAAACACAAAGTGTAGTGTGACAAATATAAATATAGAGAAATCCATCCCAATCACTTAAATAATTTCCTTTATATCATTTTTATATTGAGTTTTCGAATCTTACCATTGGTGTTTGGGACTGCAATTAATCAGTCTCTTATTGGCATGTGTGCATCTTGTGAGGATTGCCTCGATATCGCCCTAAGTCATGAGCATATATATAAACTAAACCACCCTATTGCACAAGTTATGTGTGCCCAGTAGCTAAGTGGACGACGTGATGGCTTGCGAAGGGAATGGCGCTGGGTCCGAGTTCCGGAGTGAACAGCAACTCTGGGATGCAGGTAAATCCACATGACGAGTCATGAATAGGATGAAACGCGCATCCAAGATTCCACTGCTAGCCACTATCAGTCTTTGCTTAGTATCCCTACTATATCCTAGTGAGAATCAAATTACACGTAACTTCTGAGGACTGATAATAGACTAATATTATATATATATATATATTCTTATTGTATAACTATTCAGTAACTATTATATATATTCCTCATATTATAAGCTTCATTTTGACCTACAGATTAATATTATTTTACGACTTACTATTCTTAAATTATGCTCACTTTATTAATTACAGTCTCCCACGTCCACAGTCACCTCTTGGTCAGATCTTTCATAAATGTTACTTCCTATTTTATGATATTATGTGATCTATTTGGCTGATATATAAATCAAGTATGTTTGAAATAAATGATTCCCATAATGAAAACTGTTGTTAGCGTTCTCGACTCAACTGGAAGTGATAGGAGTACAAAGGATCAATAAGAGCGCTAGGTTGCTGATACAGGTCGAAAGTCATTGGTTTGGCACAGTACTAGGATTGTATAAGTTGCATTTTGATTGGCAAATAAATCATGTGATAATCGACTGGGCTTAAAAACACAATAATCCCTTTATGGTCTTTAAAGTTTGATTATTTGACAGTAAATAACGTTTTACTTTCCGAGTTTTTAGTCTCTCAAATGCAGTAAATTCCATTTGAGATACTAATAAATCCAATATTCGTCTTTTAAATACATGTAATTTACCTCACAATAGTTCTAGACAACGTTTCCTACTGCCCTATAACTGCAAAAACCACACCCATGTCACTAATAGCTGTAGTAAGCTAACTATACTGACGTATAAAGTTTTTTTAATTAAAATGCTTTGTTGATGCCTAGTTTTGGCCACTGTAATAAAATAATCGTGGATTTACAACTCAATAGTCAGCTAACGAAGTTATTTAAAACAAGTATTTGCTCAAATGTTCAGAGTTCATTAAAACAGGCTGTTGTTTAATATAACGTCAAATTCTTTTAGACACCGAGTGACATAAATCAATCTTTCGTTGAACTATAAAGTATCCCTATCTTTAGATTAAAGAATAAAAATGAATTTTAAGGAAAACTAATCAATCTTGCATAAGTTTTTTACTCGAAAAAAAATATTTAAAGCCAATTAGTTTGGAATATATAAAATATAAGTATAATTTACTTCCTAAACATGTTTATTTCAGATAAACGTTAAGAAAAAAGCATCGTTTTCATAAGCCTTTGTTAACAAAGTATTTCAATGCGTTAAAACAAGCTACAAAATTACATTGCCAACTTTGCAATACTTTGTATTAACCACCTTCACAAAAATAATAAGCGCGACGATTGAGGTAAAATTAAAGGTAGAAATATGATTTTCAACTTATCGCTTAAGGGATTATAAATAAACAACTCATTGATCCATAATTAAGGTTATATTCACGTCAATTTGTAAGCGCTAAGATCCTAGGAGTATGTTATTTAAAATATTACTCATCAATCGAAAATATTCTTCAATCTCATTTCCAAACGGTAGAAAAAATGAGAAAGACAGAAAGTAACAAGTCAAGAAACGATACATTTTCAATTAAGTGAACTACTACAAATTCAAGTTAAACAAAACAATATGGTTTGTACATCTGTCATTTCAGTCGAAACATTTATGAAAACTGAGAAACATAATGTTATAATCTCTTTCTTACGGTTATGACCCAGCTATTCCTATTGCTTAGTATTCTCGGACACCGATTCACTCGAGAAGTCCCCAAATCAGAATACGGATGAACAGGAAAGAGATTATATTCCAAATAGCAAGGTTAGATGGAAGTAAGAAGCAAGTAAGAAGTATAATAGAGAAAACGTTAGTATATTTATAGTTTTTACTTGAGAAGGTTCTAGAGTGTTCTCCAACTATCGAGTAGTGCTGATTGGTTAATAATTAGCCAATCAGCGTGCATCAAAGCAATCATGCATTGAGCATGCTTCAATCCAGTCTATGTCCCGCTAACACATAAGAATAACAGAGCTATCCCAATGAAAAGGTTTCGAATTTTAATTTAGTTAAAAAACAGAAAGTTACACTGTTAATTTACAAACTCTCTTTAGGTAAACTGGAATACATGTAACGTTGCTCTAAGAACTTATTATAACTTATATAACTTAAAACGTTCAAATTAAAAATAATCATTGGTCTATCAGGAACTGATCAACAGAATCATAATAAAGGATCATTTTCTATTTTAAAAAATCGTTATTGCAGTACACGTCACCATATGATTAAAGCATTATTTTGTCAACCTAAATAAATAGATCTTTAAACAAACAAAATATTTAGTTAGTTTTCCATAGAACTAAAGAATTTTATGCCAACAATCTTGAACTTTGAAATTATGTTCATAGAACAACAGATAACTTTTTTTTTTAAAAAAACCGTCTATCATTTACTATCATTTACAATTCTAAGAGATTATTGAACGTTCACAACATATCAAACAAAAAACACCAATGAAATTCCTCAACAAAATGAGTGTTTACTTCTCTTACTTGTTAAATATAAAAGAACATTATGAATATGAAGATGAATTCCAATTATACTGAATATGCTGTGTATATGACCAGAAGCGCAGTTAGTTAAAAATCAATATCCTGTTATAAGTGTGGAGGTATTTTACGTTAGGATTGCTGCCAATTTACGGTTAAATATTAGCTGGTAATAGAATGAAGGACAACCATTTCGTTTCATTTAGAGCATATCATCTGGACATATCTATATTTTAGTGTTAGTGTCAACACACACAACAACAACTGCAGAAGACGACCAGTTTGACAGCAGCCTCAGCAGTAGTACGTCACAACATACACAAAGGGAAAAGCAAGATTCTCCGATACAACACAGCATGCAACAATCGAATAACGCTTGACGAAGATTTGGGAGATGTAAAAACCTTTACATGTCTGGGAAGCATTATTAATGAACTCAGTGAATCTAATGGAGAAGTGAAAACGCGGATCGGCAAAGCAAGAGCAGCATATTCACAACTGAAGAACATCTGGAACTCAAAACAACTGTCAACCAATACCAAGGTCAAAATTTTCAATACAAATGTCAAAGTTGTTCTACTGTATGGGGCGGAAACCTGGAGAACTAGGGAAGCCATCATCCAGAGGATATAAGTGTTTACTGACAGTTGTCTACACAAAATACTTTGGATCCGTTAGCCAGACACTATCAGCAGCAACCTACTGTGAGAGAGAACAACCCAGATCCCAGTGAAGGAAGAAATCAGGAAGAAGCTCTGGAAGTGGATAGGACACACATTGAGGAAAGCACCGAACTGAGTCACAAGACAATCCTTTGCATGGAATCCTCAAGGCCAAAGGAAAAGAGGAAGACCAAAGAACACATTACTTCGAGAAATGGAGACAGACATGAGAAAAATGAACAAAAATAGGATAGAACTAGATTGGAAGGCTTAGGACAGAGTGGGTTGAAGAATGCTGGTCGGCGGCCTATGCTCCGTTGGGAGTAACAGACATAAGTAAGTCAACACCGCGACTTGAATTCAGTGCCTTTCGCTTCAAATCTCAAATTATCTAGTAATACATTGAGTCTACACAGCCTTTAAAAACCTAGAAAACAAGTCGTTTCGTTTTTAACATATAAGATATCAACTACATAAGTAATCGAAAGTGCCTAACTAAAACATTGTACGATATCAGGTTTTGACCACCAAGTGATAAAAAAACCATGCACCGAGGTTAACTCTTATCCACTTTTTCAAATTCATCACTCAACTTCACTTCAACAGAAATATTGAATCAAAAATCACGTACTAGTTGCTACACTTATAATGAATATGAAAAGTTTCATATCGCCTTCCATGTATCCACTTTTGAGGGAAACGTAGAGGCTTTTTATTTAATTTGACACTATCTAATTACTGTAAAGTTGTAGTAAAATAGAAACAAGTGGTTGATTGTAGGTTATGTCAGAGTTATGAATTTTGATAAGTGAAAAGTTTAGCCTGGATGTGAGGCCAAAGGTTACTGAGGCGATTATCAAGCATAATTTCAGAACGTGACGACAATCATCTTTATAAAGCATCAAATCTTCATATACTACCTATCACAAAAACAATTTGATACCAATCAGTAAGGGGTTGTGGAGATTGTCGAATTTCACTTAAATCATCAATTAATCTTAGACCCACTATTGAAAGCCTGGAAGCAGTGGACGGACATTTCGTCCTATTATGGAACTTCGCAGTAATGTACATTCACCATCCCACCCTTGGGAATCGAACTCAAGACCTTCAGTTTAATACATGAACGCTTGACATCTAGACCAGTGCGTCAGCATCCGAATTTATGATTTCAATGAAATTTTATGCTTTTTCATTGACTTTTTTTGACATTGGTTTCCAAACGTTCTAGTAGGAAACCGTGGTCAGTGGTGTTTTTCAATCAGCAGCGAGTAATTTACTCTCCCAGGACTCTTGATGACAACCCTGCTACATACCCGATTGTCTAAAGTTGGTTATGGTGACCACTTTATCCTGACCCAGTAACTAAATGGTTTGATCCTTGTCCAATAGCTTAAAGTCCTAAATTCGATGTCTCACCTTATAGTCAAATGTACACTGCATTCGAACGTCCAAAAATGAGAACAAAGCAGCTGACTAGTCCAACCAGTTCTCAATTTTAATATAAATATCCAGAACATTTCATTGTATGCAAATAATTTAAAAATAGTTCTAAGTCGCTCTTAATTAAAATATCCATAACTAGGACGTTTCTATCTACGACGAATTATGAATGTTCTTGTTTTCTTTTATATCAATAGAAAACTAGAGAATTATCACATTTCATGAATTTTACTTCACATTTATAAGGAAAAATATTTTTTTTCTCGAAATGTGTTATAACGAAATATTTAACAACATCGTATTAATCAAACTTAACAGGCTAACATATTTGCATAAATTTGTTTTCATGTAATTCATTTGAATTTTTAATTAAGACAAATAATTTCTATTAAATTATTTTTCTTTAAAAAAAATAGTTGACATACATTTTGTTCTGAAGGTTTACTACGACATTTTGTTGGTTTATAGCACAAAACAGAATTTATTAATTCTGTTTTGTTTATGAGAAATATAATTGAACATTTCATACTGATTAAAAATAACGGAGCTACATTACAGCAGAAACTTCTACTTGACAACTTGAAAACCATTGATGTAGTTTCATTTACAAAAAAGCTATCAACATAGGAATACCCTCATTGTTGCTGTATGCTATGGTATTACATGGTTTTCATTTTGTGGAAAGAAACTATTAGCTATGCAACATCAAGATACATTAAATTCTCAAAGATGATCTACAGAACCTTTGAACCTAAGTTTTGTGCTGGGTAGTGTTTTCTACTATCAACTATCGTCAGTCTTCGGAAAACTAATGTTACCAAATAAGATCTGAACTCATGTCTTCCAGTTTCTTGGTTGAAACAATAGCTCCGATGTCGAACTGAAAGAATTAGTCTTTATATTGATGGGAATGGATCAACACTGTGCAGTAAATAAACACGACGCTGATTATCACTCAGCGACCAAATGCTGAGCATGGATTTATTTTCAGCAAAATTCAATTACCACAGAGACCGCGATTGGAAATACTTGCTTTTGCTAGCAACTTAGAGATTTGATTACTATACAATCATAAATACTGAAATCCCGTTTGAACTGCACATGACTTTAAGTCGTTTTAGATATGGTTGTTCTGTGGTTTTCATACTCAATAATATTTAGTGATGCTCAAAGTAATTATAAAAACCAAATGATGCTGGTTTATGATATGACACCATGAAACGAACAGTAGATCCTATAACTGATGTCGCTTGGTGGATCAAATGTTCAAGAAAAAAGTGGAAGACACAATGAGCTTGGAATAAATCCAAATCTTTGAAATTTAAGAATTCGTTGCCCATTTAGTTGGAGTAGTATCTATCAAAATTTATGTACACTTGTGAGTTATCAAAAAACACTACTTTTTAGAAAAATTTTGAAAGTCCTAACAAATGTTTTGTCATTTTAATGTTCTATAGAAGCTTACTGTAATTTGAAGACTAATTTTTTTTTATTCAAGTTTCAACTGATAAACTTTAACCAAAAAAAAATTAAATGATTGAAACTTCATCCTAATTTGGAATACCATGTTTTATTCCAAACTAATAAATCAATATCTAGGAGATCAAAGCTTCTAACAACATAAGTAAATAACTATTGCACTTTTGCTAGTAACTTATTTCAGATTATTAACTACTGAACATATACTATTGACATTGTTAAACGGTTCGTAATAACCAATGCATTTTGTCAGAGCCCTCATTATCGACAGATACAAGCCTGATATGTGCACGTTAAGAAGGAAAGTTTCAAGTTTTATGACTGTCACAGGAATTTTAAATTTCCATAACCCCCTATTTTTCATTTTTCCACTATTTAATTAAATAATAATAATAATGATAATTATTATTATTTTTAGTTTTAATCATTTAATTTTTGCATGATTTACGAATCATTATCATAAAATACATTTGATATATATGGACTATGAATTAGAAATTGTTTAATTTTTAATTATTATTTTTTTTCATTCATATTGGGGTTTTTTTTTTAAATGAATATTCATTCAATGAAACCAACTATTGAATTATGTGTGTAGGTTATTAGAAAATAGTTTTAATAATAAACAATGAATAATATTAATCAGTTTATGGATCCCCTTATTACACAACATTTGAATTGACCGATCATTTTTAAATAAAATAAATCTCTTCACATAAATATATATTGATTAATTTACTCAATTATCTGATGGAAAATCAAAAATATTCATGATTTGTCAACATGATCTGTAAGCTTTTCATTCTAATTTAAGGCTAAAGTAAATCTTTATTAGACAAACTCTTCATTTTGATATATGGAAATGTAATTGAATATTAAAAAAAACTAGATATTATTTAATTTATATCTAATGGTTGGTTAAATCTTCTCATTGATATTTACGACTATGATTGATCAGTTTCTTTTGGCATATATGCATACTACCTCAATATTACCATTAAGTCACAAGCAATTTTAAGCAATGGAATTCAGGATGGATGTTTCGTTCTATTCAGACTGGTCAACTGTGCCTACCTCAATCTCAGAGTTGATGTTCACTCTGGGACTCGAACCGGCTACTGATTCCAGTAGTTAAAAAGGTAGTGTGATGGTATTTAAAGTGATTGAACTCGGATGCAGGCACATTCAACCGAAAAGTTCTAAGTAGAATCTAACGAGCGTCCTGAATACTACTACTAACCACCTTCAATCTCTATTCATTTCAATTATTATAATCAAATTATTTAAGACACAAAATTGAAACTAAGACAATTGTGATTTTTATAAAGTTGAAAGAAACTGAATATTTTCTTGTTAAACATTCTGGTTGTTATTTTTATATAGTGGATTTCGTTCAAAACATCTCATCTTGCTCATTAGAAGATTTATCTGAAAATTCAGAATTAGTGGTATTGTTGTATAAATATCATTTTTTTTAATTTGACAAAACATTCTTTTGTTCACCTGGACCATCTATAAATGATAGAGAAATTTCATTTTTAACCGCTGATGTGAAAAAACGTAGTTTGAAAATACTGTTTTCAAAACTAAGGTCTGTGCATTTTATATAGTGTTTGTCTGCAAAATACATCCAGTTTTTCAATGAAGAGAATCATTAAATTTGGACTCGTCTATCTACAAATGTCAAAGAGTTAGTCACCTCAAGCAATTTCGAAGTACAATATGCATATAACAATGTCTACTTGTTAAGTCCTATTTCATCGTGACTGGAATGAAATTTCCTCCTTTTATTTGCTCTTACCAGTTGCTTTTGCTATTTAACAACAACGCTAAAACTTTAATTTCATGACTCAGAGTAATAAGTTAGTTATTTGGTTTCGAAACAATTGCAGAAATTAAATAAACGCTAAGACGAAACATAAATGATTACTTCATGGAATCTTCAAGTTTCGTTATCATCATTATCAATGATGCTTCTACTTCAAAAATATTTTTTCAGAGTAGAAACGGTATTTTTATACACAGGTGAAAAAACAACAACAAAAGCATGCAGAATGAAAATAAGCTAATAAATTATTATTATCTTATTTACAAAACGTGATCACATGGTAGCACCTACAAAATAAATTCAGCTATAATAGAGAACCAGAAACTGTTTAATAAAAAAATGTAATTATCGATTATCTTATATAAAATTCAAATCATTAATTACGTAAGTTAGTATAGACGCGATGGAACAACAGATATTTTCACCTTAGATTTCAGCATCACAGAATTTCAAGGATCTGGTTCGAAGAAATTGGCTCTCTTCCAACAAATCAGATGCATTTAAGAGAAATAACACACTAACTGCTAATCACCAATAGTTCCAATAATCGTTAACTATCAATGTACCATTCTAGAGCAGTTATAGACCAGATATCGCTGGATCGGTTGCCGATCAACAACTAATAAGCGTATATATTTTAGTTTTACCGGAGTTGTAACATGTTTCAAGCAGACTGATCATGGGATTTGTTATTGCAATACTATGTGATGTAGGCTTGTATCCACTAAGGGAGCAAAAGATCGTTGGTATGACTTGCAAATGATGACCAAGAAGAAGGAATTCGAGCCTCAAGACTCTTCCAATAACTAACAACCACTCACAACTGAAAGGCGTATATTTGACGACTGTTTTCTTAAGGTGAATTTAAGCAAAACAAAACGTAAACCTCTTCATTGCAGGGAATAGTATAGTTTAATAAAATGAAGTAACCTCTAAACATACCATTTCCACTTATTAGAAAGTCAAATCCAGAATTTCTATCAAAACGATACTTTAGTTTCACATCAACCAGATCATAAACACCTGATAATGCGCCAACAGGTGAACCAACACTACTCCAACCCTCTTCACCAAACTCGTACATTTCTGGTGTACGGTTCCAGTAAAAATCAATTGTCCAATCTCTTATCAAACTGTTCTCATTTCCACTAGAATTGAGTGGAAGAGAGAAACATCGAAGAAAATTGTCACAGCATGATGAATTCGTTGTTACTATTATCAAATTATCTGGCTCAACATATGGTATTTTTGATTTGTTATTACTGTTATTATCCGATATATTGCTATTTGTGTTGTTATGATTCATCAAAAAAGATTTATCCAAAATGTAAGAAATCTCATCTTTCGAAGAATATTTCTCTGTCAAATCGATAGGAATTCGATAACAGGTTGTCTAAAACATTTTAAACCAAAAGTCAAATATTTCGTGGTAATACTATAATTAGTTCTTAAAAAAAAGAGAATGCATATTAGTGCCAAACAAAAAGTGCATCGAGTGTGAAATACTGATATTTTTTAGCATGAAACTGAATAAAAACCACCACTAGCTACGTTGTTCAGTTCATAAAAATTATGTGCTAAAGTCAATGTAAAAAGCCAGGTCAATAAAAACTGTTTTTCAAATAAAGTATAAATATAGTTGACATTTTATTTCAACTATTCAATGCTTACTGTTCAGTGTAAAATTTGAAATGATTCTGGTAAATCAGTAAGATGAATATTGTTTTAATGAAGTTAGACCAAAACATATCATGAACAAATGAAATCTTCCGCCCTTGGCTTCACATCCAGGCTAAACTTTTCACTTATCAAAATTCATAACTCTGACATAACCTACAATCAATCACTTGTTTCTATTTTACTACAACTTTACAGTAATTAGATAGTGTCAAATTAAATAAAAAGCCTCTACGTTTCCCTCAAAAGTGGATACATGGAAGGCGATATGAAACTTTTCATATTCATTATAAGTGTAGCAACTAGTACGTGAAATAACAGGGAATTATAATACTGGTAACTTTACTGCCTCCGTTAGATAATTAACTACTACAAATCGTTGAGCAGCAAACTTTATTTCCTCCAGTTACAGAATCTAGCATGAGAAATCAATTGGGTCATTGTTAAAGGTGGAAAAAACATTTCTCTGTTAAATATTTATTCCCAGTAAGGGGGATTTGTGGAGATTATAGTGGATCAAAGTAGAATTCATGAGTCCGTCTAAGCTAAATCACTACTGAAAATCTGGAAACACTGAACGACCATTGCGTTCTAGTACGGAACTCGTCAGCAGTGAATTCCCACGATCTCGCACAATGGATGACGGGTTGCACAAGATCATTCATCAATTGAAGTTAGATATTAACACTGTTAGATGCCAGCTCATTGGTATCCGCATGCGGAACCGAAGGCCCTGGGTTTAAGTCCTCTGTTCAGGGTGGTGTTTTAGCGTAGATCAACTTGTGATTTCTACTGTGGAAATATTTATTCAGTCATATAACTGGCATAGCGAGCAATGATTGGAGCGTGAATGCGGTGTGAAATTATTTGCGGATAATTGTCCATAACATGTAATCACGTTTCGAGGATTGATGATTTGACTTAGGTTTCAGTGACAAGCACAAGTTAAATAAACATATCTCAGACACAATAAGTGGCAAATGTAACAATAATCATCACCATAAGAATTATTAAGTGGTTCTGAAATCATAGAAGAAATGTTGACTAAAAAACATAATAATGGATCTTTATATTATGTAAAGGTTAAGTTAATGTTTACATAACGGATGGTTTGAAATATATTTTTCTCTCTCGGGTTGGTAATTCTTCTAACTGAACTCCAGATTCTGTTTCCTAAGCTCTCTAGTATCCCCCTCAGGCTAATCTACATAGCAACTTGAACACGAGAGAAAAGGCGCGAAATATAGAAAGAACGCTTCACTCCAAAATTCGTTTGTGTACAGAAAATTCAGGGTATCTATAGTATGTTAAATGGTCTTGGGCTTTCGGAAATTTCTGGAACACTACTGAACATAGTAACAGCATAGCTGATAATCAAATCAGAAACGCGAAATGTGACTTGTCACTTTCTAGATGTTTCTGGCAAAACTTCTATTGAATATTGATTTGATAAGATGTTTCTCAGAGTCTTCAGAACCTTTTTGACTTTTTTCAAGGAATTTTCTGGATCTCCGGAACATAGGTATACAGCGATAATATGTTAATATGATAGTGAAACTTACTTACTTACGCCTGTTACTCCTCGTGGAGGAGCATGGGCCGTCCACCAGCACTCTCCATCGAACCCTGCCCTGAGCAATCATTTCCAACTCTTGCCAGTTGTTATTCATCCTTTACATATCTACTTCTATTTCCCGACGTAATGTGTTTATCGGCCTTCCTCTTTTCCACTTCCCTTCAGGATTCCAAGTTACTGCTTGTCTCTTGATGCAGTTTGGTGGTTTCCTCAATGTTTGTCCTATCTACTTTCAACGTTTTTTCCTAATCTCCTCTTCAGCTGGTTTGTTATTTCCCACAGAAGGCTGTTGCTGACGATATCCGCCCAATGGATGTTGAGTATCTTGCGTAGACAATTATTTATAAATACTTGTACCTTCTTGATGATGGTTGTGGTAGTTCTCAAAGTTTCAGCTCAGTACACTCGAACTGTCTTGACGTTCGTATTGAAGATTTTGATCTTTTATTGGTTTAAAGTTTTTGTCAGTTCCATATGTTCTTTAATTGTAGGAATGCGGCCCTTGCTTTGCCAATCCTCGCTTTTACGTCTGTATCGCATCCTCCACGTTCATCGATGATGCTTCCCAGGTATGTGAAGGATTTCACATCTTCCAGAGTTTCGCCATTAAGTGTGATTAAGTTGGTGTTCCCTGTGTTATATTTGAGTATCTTGCTTTTTCCTTTGTGTATTTTGAAGCCTATTGATGCAGAGGCTGCTGCTACACTAATTGTCTTTATCTGACTTTGTTCGTATGTATGGGATGGGAGGGCTAGATCATCTGCGAAGTTCAAATCGTCTAATTGGTTCTGAACTGCCCATTTTATTCCGTGCTTTCCCTCAGATGTGGAGGTCTTCATAATCCAGTCAACCACCAAAAGAAAGAGGAAGGGGGAGAGTAGACAGCCTTATCTGACTCCGGTGATAGAGACTAGTCACGCTATATTAGATCCATGATTCATGGCCCAGAATAGAGGACCAGATTAACACTAGGTAATACTTTACCCAACAAAATCACAAACAGTTACACCCAGTAAGTCCAGAGTAGAAACTAATGAGAGGAAAGAAAATCACATATTTAATAGTCCGTAGGATGTGCATTAGGTAGTTTTGTTATCTGAGCTGGATGGTTTGGTTGGTGAGCTTTCATTGCTCTTCTGAACAATATCATCAGCACAAACATCAAGTAGAAGTGTTTGAATTTCTCCACATCTGACTCACAGCTTGTCCTGTCAACCTCGATGTTCATTGGTTATTGTTGACCTTTAACCTATCATTGCCTAACATTATTTTGATTGTATCTCCCTTTGATTTGATTCTTAGTACTATATCTGTGCATGTTTTTTGATTGGGTCGATTCCAATGTGTTTGTTGATTCACCTAAGTACCAAGCTTCTAAAAATCCCCTGATGCTTTCGGTATTCCCTCTATCTAATATCTCAACATTTTCCCAGTCAAAAGCGTGTCCGTATTTGCTCACACACATGTCACGGCTTTTGACAGCTAAACAATGTTAGTGCAGGAGAAGATGAAGTGGACGCCCAATTTATCCAATATAGTATTTTTCTTAGTCGTAACAGTTTATTTTATAGGTGATGTTCGGTTTTTCTTCTTTTATCATACCATCCTTTGTTTTACATAGAATTGTTTGAAGTGATTTCGCTGGTTTGTTTGCTACACCTATTCCTAACGGCTTTAATTATCTCTTAATTTCTGACATATCTTTTATATATGATAGGATGATCCATTGGTTGTTTTCTGTACTTGACTTCGTTTCTGATGATGAGTTGAGTTGATACTTTTTGGTGAATTCGAATGGGTAGGTGTTCTTTTGAAAGATAGTCACTAGATACTTTTCTTTATTTTCCCGCACTGCAGGTGTGCTGCAGTGTATTCCTAACCTCCTGAATAAGTGTTGTACACAAACCATTTTGTGAGTTCTTGGGTTGTTGCTCAGATCAGATTGTTAGTGTTTTACATTTCGTCTTTTTGATGATGATGCGTCGACCACATAAAGAATCGACATTTTCGGCTTGATCACTGGTTAGATCGAGGCTTTAAGTCTCTGCATTGCTGCTCCCGCAATAAGTCCTGATATTGATGATTCCATCGGTGTTCCTTTCGTTTGTTCGTAGATTTTGTTGTTGAATTGATAGTATGTTGTTAGGCATAAATCGATGAGTTCTAGTAAACTTTGACTTTGAAGCTTTGTGTACTTTGTAAGACATGTGTCTTTGTTAAGGAGCAGGGATCAAATTTCTTTTCCTAGGTTTGGTTTAATTGAAATGAATAGGGCTATTACATTGAGGGATATCACAAAATCATCGTTGTTGATTTGAATCTCCTTAACCTTATACAAGAACTGCATGACAGATTTGATGGATTGATTGAATGAATCCACTAAATGCTTCAATATTCTTTAAATTTCTCTCGATAAATTGTATGTTGTATGGGAGTGATACAGTTGGGCATAGTAAAATGTTTGGATGTGTATTTTCGAACTACCGTAGAATCGAGGGAGTACTGCTTTACTGGATTTTATTTTCCATTGATCTTGAATTAATATTTGTCATCTTTTTATAAGCTTGTTTATGTCCTTGAAATTTGGTTGTCTAACCTTTTGATTGGATTTGTGTTCATTAATTTATACACGTTTTATCCTCAAGCAAACCTCCGGCTTTCCTGATACATTCTTCTTTGTCCATAATTACTGTAGTGAGTCGTTTGTCCGCTGGAACTATGACAATATCTCTAGTTTTTATTTTCTTTGGGGCTTTTTCTTCTTCTGATGTCAGTTGAGTGTTTTCTTTCTTCTATCAAGTTAACATCACTATGCTTCGTCTTATTTCCTTTTGAGCCTATGTGTTCACGCTCAGTGACCAATCACAGCTTAAATTCGTTACCATATATCACATACATACCTTCTTTAAATTTGAAGTTAATGGTCATGATTCGTAAGTGAAAATGAAATATGATTTTTAAATTACAAGCGCCATATTTTCAGAATAAACATAGAAGTACAGAATAACAGAAACCTTGAACACGGTAAAACTAAATACGCATGAAACTATACTTTAAATAATTTTCAGTTAAGCTATAAAAAATAAAACTTACCTCTTTCGAACGATTGTTTGTATATGTAATAAGAAAATAACCGCGAAACTCCAGAAGAGCACATAACTGATGAAAGTCATCTTGAGAGATAACGGTAATTCTATTTAATGGTGGTAAACGTGAATTTCTTGAACTTGAATTCATTGTTCCACTTTGTTGATTATTGATGTTCAAATTAGCATCCTTCAATTCAATACACTCAGTTACATTAACTGAATTAAAAGAGACTGAGTCTTTTGCAGTATTTTGTTGATTGTTCTTCAACTCTTGTTGATACTGAAGTGTTGATTTAACTGAGTAAGTAAAAAATAAACTATTTATAAAAAGATTAAACAATATATTGCTTATTCTTCGAATTCATTGCCATTAGGCTTTCTCTCGATTACGACTGAACATTATTAACGTGACACTAATCATTGTGCGTGTATTCATCAAAATATGGTGGTAGAAACAATTCTTCTCCATGAATAGCTTCTAGATTATGTGACCCAGTGTGATAAAATCCCAAGAAATTGTCCGCGTGAGAAAATCAATATATGCACTAAAGGCTAATTACTCTTCGAACGAGCATTCCAAAGCTAACTCTGAGTGAAGGGAAGTAAATTTGAAATATCTACTATCCATAGACAAGCAAATTTTCGAATTGGCAAATTTGATTGAAGCACTTTTCCAGCCTAATATCGAACGTTTTCAGAATAGTCTACGTGCTTAATGAAACTCAACCTCAATCAGAATAAGTAACTCTTGTTTAAATATCAAGTAAATGATAAATTCATATTAGGTCGAAGATAAGTGTTATAACACAACAGTGTGGTTTAATTGAAGTAGACCGATTACAAACACTAAATATTGATATCATCAGTTATGTTTCTAGCCACAGAAAATTAAAGACTACTCAAGAGTCAATTAAGAGTAAAAATACTCTTGTGTATACAACATATAAAAAGTTCTCATTAGATTCTTATCCAAAAATACCCACCATAAAATGTTAAGTAAATACAAATAAGACAAAAGCTAGTCTTCATCAAATGAAAATAACAAGATTCATCTATAAACATCCAAATTACTTCAATGGCTAAAAATACTTAATTTTGATTAAAGAATAATTATACCTCATTTGTTAGCTGATTTATCTCATAAATAATGCCAAAATACCAAATATTATAATACATAAAGTTCAGTCTGTTACACTGAGGATTTTGAGATACAGTTAAAGCAAGTATGGATATTTAGGCTAAAAATTATTTCTAAGATGAATTTGTCATGAATTGGTATCTACCAGGAAAATAAAGAAAATGAGGCACTTCTAGACAGACGAATCACCAGTGTATGTTAACGAACCTAAGAACATTCAGACCTTAAGACGAGTGGATCATCTTTACACTAGGAAGTCAGATATATTCCATATGTTTCTTATGATAACGTAAATAATATCAGTCGGTGACCAAAAATATACAAATTCAAATGATTTTTCACATATTCACTAACAATTAACATCCGAAAACTTCAGCTTAATCTCAATAAGTCGTAAATAACTATGAGTAACGCTAGTTATTCATTTCATACTATAGTTGAAACAAATCGGAAATTATGTAATCTAATCGAATTCGTTAATGAATTACCTTAACTGATACATAGTTCACTTCAGTATAGTGAGAAAACTACTTAGTAGTTGAGTTCATGAGTCAATTAAAGCTAGACCACCATGGAAAACTTGGAAGCACTGTTTGATAAAAAGTTGATAAAGCAAAAAATTTTGTTGTAGAAAATTTTTGTCCAAATTTAATTTTCAATGAAGTGACATAACGATAAACAAAAAAACTATTTAGGACCTGGCTAAATGATACATGAATTCAAGATGATGATTTTTTCATTTGAACAGTTAGACTAAAGCAGTAGACGGTAAAGATCACCTAAAATGGTTTAAAATAAATACGGAACTATCATCAAAACCCTTTATTATTTAGGTTATTAACTTTGTAAACGAACATTAACAAAAAACCATAACAATAAATAAAGTGAAACCATTTTATTTTAACGACTTTTCAATGAAAATTAGAAATCACTGACTTAATCAGCCACACTTTAACATTCATAACTATATTATTGTAATAGTGATACACTACACACAACAACTGCCTATTATCTTAAAGTTCCAAATATACTTACTATCTTATACCTAGTTTTTCTTTAATTAAAAAGACTACTTTCAGATATGACAATGGATTATTAAAACGAAAAAATTCAAGATAAAAATGAGCATTATGCCAGTAATTTTATACTAACTCAGTTTATAATTATATAGTAAAACTAAAACTTTTAAACCTTGAATTTTTTTGCGTTCTAAAAAAACAGTCGAACAAAACATTTGCACTGAAATTTGGATCCAGTTTCATTAGTCTATCACTGACACATATGTAGACAGAGCATTATAATCTGTCACATTCTTCCGTTAATTACACATATATCATATAACCAGTAACTTGATCAAAGATTTGTAAAATATATAAATTTGACTAGATTCCCTTTGCAAATTAATTTCGTCTAGATGACAATGAAACACCAATTGTTTTAGTTATGTTCATTGATATCTTCAAGGAAATTTGTTATATGAAATGAAACTATCCGAAATTTCACATTAATCAAATATAAGATTTCGTATTTCTACCAATACATAGGTTAAACCAAATATCGAAATATTATTCTCAATGGTGAACAAACTTTGTAGCCCATAAAGACACCGATAATTAGTTGGCGATATTTTGCAAGAAAATATTTTTTATTTCTTAATACTCAACAGAGTAAAAGTCTTTTTTGTTAAATGATAGTCCGCGTGCTGCAATATATTCAAGTGAAATGAAAATAGATAGCCTCAAAAGTCCTACACTCCATGAGAATAATGCACTGAAAAGTAATTTTTCTACCGAGAATATGTAATCCATTTTGAACCATACCACTTTTATGACCGCCTGTGACATTACTCGCTTGTTTAAGTTAAAAAAGATGGAGTAGGGTTCGAACTTGAGAATTATTGGGTAAAACTGAACTATTTTAGCCCATAAGCCATCTATGCAGTATTAGGCTCGAACAGACATTATGTTAGAAGAAAGGAAGTTAATAACGATGAAGTATCATTCTGTAATCATTGATAAGCAAAAATAACAAAAAAGAATACTAAAACTAACAAAATTATTAAAAAAAAACAAAAATATTTATGTGCATTCGTTTAAAGGTCTATAAATGTTAGTTTATATTGGCCAGTGTAATACAATGCTCTTTGATAGCAATTCGAAGCACAACCACTGAACATTTAGTAGATTATACAACTTTTTTTTAAAAATCGAATATTTATTGAATTATTATTTTCATAAATAATATTACTGTAATATAATTAATTTAACAAGTTTATTACAACTTTACAATCACATAGATACTAACAACTTTAACAATAATAATTCACATGGATATAAATATGAAACATGACAGGAGTTTGATTTTTCGTAGTTGAACAAAATAAATAAAAAAAAATCAAAAGTATTAATCCATAAAAATATTTGATTCTCTTCATAGTCATTCATTTACTTCATCTCATATCTTTTATTTTTAAATTATACATATATATATACGGAGAGAGAGTAAAAATAAGGGAACACTAAAGATATTTCACTTTTGTTACAACAAATTAATGTACAATAAATATTGAAGATCATGTACATGCACCAAGGCATGAAAAATTAACAAATAATGAATATATAATTTAATTTTTTTCTAAATTAAGAACTAAAACTGCTAATCACAAATAAAGAGCATTGCATACAATAAATTTATTAACAACAGTGATGCTCGACAGAATAAGTGTTAACAACGTGCATAAAAGTTCGATATTTGAAAAGCAGTGAATCTTATGAAGATTCTGTAGACGATACAATAAGCCTGTATTTACTTAGATTAGTTACTCATGTACAATAAATAAAACAAATTCGTTTAGTGCTGCTTCCGTTTACGATGAGCCAAATAAGCATTTATTCCAAATACTGAAACAATAAGTACTACCACAACAAGCAATGAAACTCCAGTCAACGCTGTAATTGGTATGTTACTCTTGAAGTCACGTGGACAAACTTCTCGTAAGCCTAGAAAAGATTAGAATATAATTGAATGACGTATAACAAGAATAACAGTATCCTTACGATCTGGTCTAATTGTTTCTTCAGCTTTAAATGCTTGAAATGTCATTGAATTAAAGACAATCTCAACACTGTGACCAAATTTAATTGGTATTTCTGTATCACACACATACACTTCATCAGTACGAGTTAAAAATTTTTGATCAGACGAAGTGGAAACTATATTTGTAGAAAATAAAGGAATCGGTTAAGTAGACGTTATGTTCAATTTAACTGTTCCATACATACTTTTGGCTTCAGAAGTAGGTAATTCAGATTGTGATAAAGTGGATAAAGGCTCAGCGAACTGATATATTAATGTCATATTTGTCCAGGCAAAGTATTCCTCATCCTCCTCTATTGTTAACAACAAAACACATTTCTGTAGTTTGGAACCTTCTGTGGACATAACCAAATTAATACTAATTAGTTGGTTATCTGATTTTATAGTTTCATTTGTATGTACATTAGATGAGGTTGTCTTCGGAATAAACGTATAGTTCTGTAGTTCACCAACATTTCCATCCACCTACATTTACAATAAAATAATTTTGATGGTATCATTTTAAAAAACAGATGCTCACGCTTTTACTGACTGGATAAAAGAAACGCAGTTTCCAATACCATTCTCCGGAAACGTAAGGTGGATCAATGACGGATACTTTCCCATTTGATGAAACTGTCAAACAGACACAACCTGTGAGATACAACAATAATAATCGTAAGATAACTGCATGCATATTAAAAATCAACATAACGTATGGTACACATACTGAAAGACAACTAACATCGAAATTTTAGAACACAACATATTCAGAGGACAATGTACATTCAAACAAAATTGGATAAAGAAAAATAAAAGTAAAGTAGGACTTTATAAAAGTTCTCAATAGTTGAACTTCCCACACTTCACATTAGCATAAGGAGAAGACAATAACAAGAGGAAAAGTATGGAAGAAAAAATGATAACACCGACAGTGGTTGAAATCTAGAAACATGTAAATGACGCAAAATGAATAGCGAACAATGGACAATTATACTGTTTTCAAAGGAAAAACAAAGAATTAATATATCTTCATTGGTGCGGTCAGTCTTCATCAAGAAATTACTTCATGGACCTCAAATAGTCAGTTGACGCATTCTGAAACTATGCTAACTAACAGTAAATGTGTTCACCAATCATTAACATCCGGTCTAATTACCCTTAGCCTTTCTAAAACCTACTGTCATTTCACTACGCATAATGTTTGATTACTTTTGTTAAATATCAAATATCCCAACTGCATTAATTAATTTACCGATTTTACTTAATCTGCTAATTAGTGATAGAGAGGTTAAGAGAATTCTAAACATGTCACTTGTCATTTTAATTCAATACTATTTTTTTTTTTTTTTTTTTTTTTTTTTTTTTTTTTTTTTTTTTTTTTTTTTTTTTTTTTTTTTTTTTTTCAATATATCACAATAAAATATTGAATTTTACTTTCATGGCTGGGTTTCATTCTTAGGAAATCGTCAATTTTGTAAGCTTAATGCTATTCGCATAGTTTTTCTAGCAACCAAGTCTAAGTAGTGACCAGGTTAAGAAGAACAATCAGTTCTCTATCGGTATAACCCAAAACATTCTACAAAAATTTCGAGCATAAAATAAGAACGCTTTAAAATCGCATTAGGTAGCTTACAGACTTAAAATTATGATCTTCAAACCGAATGTAGACCAATCTACTTAAAATATCGCAATTCTCAGTTGTTAATTCAGACAAACACAGCCTTAGAATTACAACTGTACTTAAGACTCTCAAAAATACTGAATCAAACCAATTTGTGTCATCACGAGCATTTTCCACACTTAACAACGTTGATACAAAACTATCTTTCATAACTGCATTTGGATAATTACTGCTGTATCCCGATAAGAATAATGAACGGTAATTTTTGGGATCGATTTATGGACCAATATTATTAGTATATTTTTATCGTATAATTGTTATGTAACTGAACTGTTCATATTCGTGTCCCTCTTATTGTGAGCTATATTTTGACCTATGAATTCTTATTATACGATTTACCATTCATGAATTATTCCCTGTCTGTTAATCGCTACCTCCCTCGTTCACAGCCACATCTGGCTAACTCTCGTACAAATGTTGTTTCATATTCTATTGGTAAGTTGTGGTCGGTTTGTTTGGTATATAAACCCAGTATGCTTGAAATATAATGATTTATATCTCAGAGGCTGAGACTTGCATTCTGGACTCAACTGGCTGGGCTAGACAGGGAGGTGGGACCAACTAGAACTCTAGGCCGTTTTTACGTGTTTACGAGTCTTTGGTCCGATCGACAATTTGCTGCCGTCTAATCCACAGTCACAAGTTATAACAAATACGTGTTATCATACACAGTAAACTGTCAGGTCTCACAAAAGTTTCCAATATTGAGAAAACCAACGCAGATATCATACAAATCAGTATTCATCTTGGAAAAAAAGGTGGGAAAAACCTGTCATTTTTCCGTGTTTCATGGGAATCGAACTTGACATTTATTTAGAAACCATGTTACTTACAAAATGAAATTACCAACGCTCGTGTAAGTCTCGATCATCGTTCTATTTATTTTAAAGACTTATTTATGTTCGAAATCATTCTGTTTATATCATGTAACAGGTAAATCACAAATTTGAGCTAAAACTTAAGGGTAAAAACTACTACCTGTGTAACATAACTATGGAATTTTCAACTTTGTAAATAAAGCAATCATTGATGTTGTAGCTGCCAAATTATGGAACTCAATAAATCAATTTAAAATTTAATCAATTGGCCGATATAAAACTTCTTAACCATTCAGTAATTTAAACACTTACTCAAGACAATGAATTTTAAATCAAAGATAAATTAGTGAACCATTTCATTTTTAAAAATAGTTGAGAAAAACTATCCGCGAGATTGTATTTTTCTGTAGATATTCGGTAAACTAGACCACTGAATATAAAATTAACTACATGTGACTTCACCATCCGAATTAACTAAGGTGAAGTGTACAAGCAAGAGAAGAATTATTTGAAACAAAACGCTCAAGGAAATTACCTTGACAAAAACTATAGCTAATAGTAGAAAAGTTGTTCAAATTATAGAGGTAGTTAGCAGAACCCATAAAACCAAATGTTATGTTTGTTATTAAACTGAGTCTGAAATCTCAATACCAAGGAATAAAATGGGGTTGCTTTTTAGTTACCCAAACGTCCGTTACTCAAGCGACAATCAGGAATTCGAGAACAAAATTTACCGTTAAGACTAGTCTGGTTTTAAAAATAGTCACTGATCATTAATCGATCATAAACTGTTTTGTCTTAAGAGCTGACGGAACTTTCAGAGCAGATAAGGGACGTATAATTTAATTGATATTTCCATATCTTAACACTTATCCACTTGTAATTGCAGGACGACATTAGTTCTACTTTAGTGTCTGCGCAATTATGTAAAAACAAATGTGCATTCATAACTTATCCACAATTTCCGCTTGCTAATATATGAATTTAAGAATAAATTCTCTGTTGAGAACACGACACATCAAATATCTTATTTTTCTGTCCATTTAATTGCCCTTTGACTTCACTTATTTCACAGTTAGCTACTTAATCATGTTACTTTATTTTTTATTTCGTTTCTCATCCTTTTTTATAGTTTTGAATTCCGTAAAATTAAGACATTAATAAACCTTGAGTAACTGACGAGGGAATGAGCGACTTGGTGAGCCTTAATAAAGTTATCTAAATACGAAAGATAATGAATAACATAAAGTGTCAAACAATAAGCTATATTTCAGTTAAATCACCAAGTTAATGGTTTGTCCAAATAGCAACCATGCATACCAAATTATTGTTTATAGAGGATATAAATGAAAGCTTTAAAAAATATATATAGACTTATCAACAGAAACAGGGCTGAACAGGTTCTTTAAACTTATCATCTTGTAGGTAAAATATTCCTTACATTCTCTGAACACTATGATAACAATCACATAACAGTTAACTACCGATTGATAACTACGTACTACGTGACTCAAAAAACTACACATTTGATTAGAATGCCTTAAGAATAACTGATGCAGCACTGTGTGATTTTAATTTTACTTTCATTAATATCGATTACATCAAGACCACGCTCGTTGTGGTAGGGTTAGTTTTTGTATGCTTCAACAATGATTCAGGTCAAAATAAGATTCTCTCAGTATCAGAATATAGGAAACGTGACTTCCGAATTATGTCAGTTGACTATATATATTCTGCTATTTTAATGTTAATAGACTTACACATGCACAAAAATATCTTAACTAGAAAAACAACTGATGATCTGTTGCTAAATACAAATTATAATCTATAAAACGATTTATTCGGATTAAATCGCGTAATAATGTGTCAAATTACTAAAATATAACAATACACATCACGCGTTTGTGCTAGATATTTTATTAGCCAGTGAAAACATTCTTAAGCACATATTGTTGACACTATATGATAACAACAACAGTGTCTCTGTTCATAGCCGAAAAAAAAAAATCTATCATTCTTACATGGTACTCAAAAACCAGCATAAAATACAGTGATATGACATGTTTATAAGCCTATAATCATACAATCTTAAATAATTAAGAGTACTACTACTTTTTAATGTGTATTGAAAAATAGATG